GTCGCGTCGTTGGCGACCCGCGTGATTCCGAGGAGTACACGTATTGGGAGACATCTTCGCATGACACTCTCTCCTACGCCTTTTACAGCATGCCGGGTCAGTATAGGAACGTTCCAGCAGTGAAATCCGCCTCGCATATTTTTGACCAGATTCCCGACGGCCAGCTCGTGCGACCGGACAAGCCAGAGCCTGCTGTTCTTCGCCTCAGCGCGGTGAAGGGCACTGAGGCCACCCGGCGAAACCTCGAGAAGCTGAAGGAAGAATCCATCAAGAAGAATGTGGTCATCCTCGGCGCCAGGAGAGGCGAAGATATCGCCCCCAGGATCGGAAACACGGTCGCTACTCTGTGCGCTAAAGTCGGGGATATTGCCCGATTCCTGGAGATGGGAGTGAGATCCAGAGCAGGACCCATCCTCCCGACCAGGAGTGACCCTGACCTAATGATCCAGGCCATTGTTCCCGCCCCCACGGAGCTTCTGGATTACTTCGCCGACGAGATCCGTCAGAAGGTGGAGAGCAGGGCGGGCGCCTCTTCGCACTATTACAGGAGAGCATGCGCGGAAATACGCGACGCGCTCCGTGGAACAGCCGTGCAGCCTGGAACTGCTGGCGCGGTCAAGGACCCAGAATTGGAGGCCTCGTCTGCCAGCGGGCAAGGGAACGTCACTTCGGTGATGCAACTGAAGAAGTACCTGAGCCACTACTTCGGGACCAGCATCGAGTCCCACGATGCCTTTTCGTTGTACCTCCTGTCTTCTTTCCTCGAAGACGGGGTGGGAATGTTCGAGATCATCATCACCGTCATTCGTGACAAGGAGCGTCGATTGCTGCCTGGTTCCGCCCGCATAGCGGCGGTAAGGTCGCTTGAGATCGGATCTGACACTGATTACCGAGCATTTCGTGAACGATATCAATACATGCTCTACGAGAGCCCTGTTTGTCTTCCTGTCACCTCTAAGGTGGTTCCCAAGACACTCTACAAGGTGGTGCCACTTCGGATGTATCGGCTCTACGTAGAACGTGGAGCGATCATTTGGGGTGGGCGAGCCATGATTGAGCTCCTCCCATCCAGGCCGGATGAGTACCAACCCATCCGCGATCACGGTGAATGCCCCAACGACACTGTCGACCGCATCACCGACAGCAATGTGACGGAGCTGCACACCTCGGGTCGACGCCAGAGGAGCGATCCCCGATATGTGGTCATGGCCCTCGATGCACGTTTCTTCTCCATGGAAAATGGGGGCATGCATATTACTCGTCAGGGTACCTTTGCATCGCGCGAGAACATCGCGATCGGGTACTGGAGATGCGTCTACTTCAAGGAGGACTGCTCCATCATTTACTTGAGGCCATGGTGCTATCCGCCCAACTTCCTCAGCTCCGTGAGTGAGAACCCGAGGAAGTGTCGGGACGAGATGGAGAAGACTCACCAGATCACCAAGGCGGAGCATGTCCGGGAGGTGCTGTCTGTTCCATGCCATAGGTGCATGACGACTCATCCGATCGGCGCTCACCTGTGCACTGCCTGCTACCTTCCCATCTTCTATGAGGGTGTCCTGCCCACCGGAGACACGGACGGCGGCCCTCGCACGATAGCGAGCACTGACGGGGTGATTCCCAGCTGGTTGGGGAAATACGGGGGCGTCGTCCCCGCTCTGTGGAACAACGCAGACGCCAACGCCATCGGAATGGCCCTCTACTCACAGAGTCCCGCCGTTGACGCCCGGTCCTTGCTGATGTCTGGGATGCGACCTCCTAAGTACCTCGACAAAGAGGACGTGGACGGCATTTTCCAGAAACTCCACGACTCGCTCCGAGACGAGGTTCTTGACGGCAAATACCGTGACACTGTTGACCACAATGTGGAAGAGTGGGTCGCAAAGGCGATCTTGGTAAGGGGTCTTGCTTTCAACGGGAACACCGTCCCCGACTTCTTCGAAGAATATGAAGGGTATGCGGCTGAGTGGGGCAGACGCCTAACCACCGCAAACTTCAACGCCAACCGCTGCGGCTTTTACACGTCATACTACATGGTCGAAGCTCACATCATTGGGCTGAGATCCGGGCATCTTTCTCCGATACTCCCGAACGATGTGTCCGGGGAGACGTTCAAGGCCCAGGTGGAACTGCTCGCACAACACTGTGGGGTAATGCAAGCCATGCGGAGGAGGGCCGGCTTCGATCCCGCCGCGCGTCTCAAGCAGGCTATGGACACGGTACGGGAAGGCGTAAAGAAGGGCTACGCCTACACGCTCAACGACCTCAGCAGTATGGATGAGCTGATCTACCGGACGTCCACCGTTGCCTACGACACGTGCTTGGCCGACCGTCCGCAAACCCAGGACGACATCAAACAGGAGCTGGCCGATCCTGCACCCAGGAAATACCGCTTCCGACCCCGCGATCGCCATCGGTTCTGGTGGGGCTGTGCCAGTTCCTCCTCCTCCTCCTCCTCCCCCCGTTTCTATTGCTGCGGGCGTCACAACGGCTGGGGATCCGTTTGAGGAAGAGGACGTGGCCGTCAATACTCGTGCCCCTGACACCGAGTCCGAGCTGGAGGCTGACACCGACCAACCCAAGGCCAGGAGGACATCTCGTGGTCGGGTCCCCGCGCCCGAGAAAGGGCAGGGGGGCGTTCACATCCCACCTGGCGGGCAACCCAGCTCTAAGAGCATGGCCCAGCCTGCCCGTCCATCCCCGGTCCCCGCGAGAAGCGGTGCGGAAGAAGGGGAGAGAAGGGGCAGGACCAAGGGGTTCTACACCCAGAAGGATCCTTTTACCGGCGAGGACGCGACTCCCCGGGTTCGTCTTCGGTCTGGCGGTCCCGGAACTCCTGCGTCCCCACCACGGGATGTCACTGGTTCCTTGGGCGGCCGTAGCGGCTATGACCCGCGCGATGATGACGACGAAGAATGGGAGCTTCCTCCGGGCGTGCCTCGGACCACTCGTGCGGCCGATGAGTTGCGACCCCACCGAGATGACGATCGATCAAGGACCGCGCTTGGGGCTCGCGAGGATCGTCGCGGCCCTAAGGGTGAGGCGAAGGGTCGAGGGAGACACCGACCTGGTAAAGGTGGACGCGAGGATCCTGGCCCGCCCCGACAAAGGGATGATCGTGGCAGGGATACCCGCGGAGGCCGACGCGATGATCGCCGACCTCCTCCACGCCGTGAGGAGCCCTCCGAGAGGCGCGGTCCAGGGCGAGATGAGCGCCGCGGACGTGATGGCCCCGCCGATGACCGTCGCGATCGCCACAGAGATTGGCGCAGGGATGACCGACGTCACCAATCAGATCCCCCTCCGCCTCGCCGACCCCCGGCTGGCGACCACAGTGGTGAGGATCGCCGTCGAGATGGAGGAGGCGACCGAGGTGACCGCGGTGGACGTCGGAGAGATGACGCACCCAGAGACCGGGAAGAACCCGGTTCAGGGTGGTAGGCAGGTACCTCAATCAGCATCCGCCTTAGAAGGGCGAGGATGGCGCACGTGTCGCCGAAAAAGGCGACTGCACCGATCCTCTTCTCGCCCATGCGGCACTGCTGGGGGTGATGGTCTCCATTGCCCTGTACCGCTGATCCGGCGTTGTTCGTGTTCCTCCCGCACCGCTGCCGTGCGCGCTGGAGACGGTTCCCCTGGCGATCCTGTGTGAGGCTGTGACCGCACTAGAAGTGCCGGGCCGGCCGTAGCCGGATATTTTCTCACCAATTTCGGAACATCTCTATCTTTTTCCTCCCAACTCGGTACCACCTCCAACCACATTGCGACATGCTGTGAGGCGCGGCGATCCAGATAGGGTCCCCCTCCGCGTGTTGCTGTCCCATGACAATACATGAGCGGCACGAGAGGAATCTTCGTCTGGCTCCTCCAATATGTCCTTGTTCACTCACGTGGCCCATTCGTCAAATAACCCTGTCGCCCCGCTAATTCGGGGTGGTGGCGGGATTTTAACTGGGGCCCAGGTGCTGCCGTTTGGCTCACCTCTGAGTTGACACTGGCATTTTTGGTTGGTTCCTTTCGTCGTGAACTCAACTGTCTTGCATCCTTTCTCTCGTCCAGATATCGGATGAGGGGGGTGTGTTTCGTTCACGTGTTGTCTATCATAAGCGAATCGGCCGAATGGCCGTTTGGCTCAAGATTTGGTTCCCCCGTCGGGATTCCCTTGGATTTGCGTGCGTTCGCCATAGTGCGGCGATTGGCTGTGCCATTGCGGAAAAGGTCCGTGGTGTTCCTGCTGATCGGCACTAGGAGGTGGGCGGCAGGTCGCCGAGGTGTTCCCGGGCCCGATCCCTATCTTTACCTTCTTTCAACCTGTTTTCCAACCTCCCCAAACTTGATCTTCATTAACTGTCACTCCCACAATCTGGTCACCGGCACCTTCTACGTTGTGCTTTGGGACTGGGTTCTTTTGGTACTTCGTGAACCACGTGTACCTCTTTGAGTCCCTGGGCTACTTCGTGTTCGCCCAAAACCGCAGTTCGCCAAGGGCAAGGCAGAACCTGCGTGAGGGGTTTTCTCCTCGCCCCAAATGTTACCCGCAGGCTGAAGATGCGTCGTCGTTGGCTCTGTGGGACAAGTTGTGATCACAGGTGCCAAAAAATATGCAAGTTTTTGTTGGGTTCAAATCACTTGCCGGTTCAATTCTTGCAAAAGGAAACCACAACATGCGATTGTATCCCACCAGCACACTGATATTTTACTTGATTCTGGGAACCATCCACCAAGGCCAACCAAACAGGCCATGAAGAATGCGGGTATGTGTCACAATAGGGAGACCGTTAAATGGGTGGTTTCCCTTCGGTTTCCCTTTCAACTAGCACAAAAACACACGCACCCACACACACACACCACACAACATACACACACACACTCACTTAAGACTTGCGCACCAATGTGAATGTTATGTTGCTTTTCACCTCAGACCTTTAATTAACACCCATATGATTTTGACCCTCTCATATGAGTATGATCGTTCTTTTTGCCGGATACTGCCACGTTGCGGGTGTTTTGTTTTTGTAGAAGCCGGTATATATATATATATATATAGCCCATGCGATGTCGCGGGTCCGGCAGCTGTGTTCGGTGGGCCTTGGTGGGGCCGTGCTGGTGGCCAGTGTGCCAGTGCTGCTCTTTGGCTTTTCACCCACAGGTGGGGTCTGACGATTTTTTGGTGTGGCGATTTTTTTGAGTTGAACCCCCCCCCCCCCCCGGGGTTTTTTGGGTTTAAAAAGGAAGCCCAAAGGAAAACCAAAGACAACCCAAAGGAACCTACTGTACCGTTTTTTTGTTGGGTGTATTTTGGAAATGAACACCAAAGGAACACCAAAAACAGGTGGTGTGTGGTTTTCCTTTTGGAGTTGAGGTGGTTTTTTAACGGGGCTCCCGTACAAAAATGAAAGAACGGCCAGGTTGGGCAAAGCACGTTGCCAAGTTGGATTCCACCCCTCGTCCCCCTAAAACAATCCACATAGGTGGAAGGGTGCTTTTTCTTTTGCGCCCGTCGATTGAAATCAAGGGAAACCCAAAGGTTGTTCAAGCACTCGTGGTCTAAACCATGGTTTAGACCATGGTTGAACCCAGGAGTTTAACTGATTTAAACGACTTGGAGAAGCCATGGTTTAAACCATGATTTAAGCGAAGTCGAATCTTACAACCCTGACAGGTCAGGCCAATGCCCGCGATGAGGGCGGACACTGCGGTAGGTTGGAGGGCTACAACCACACTTCTGCCTCATGTGAGATCTTCGGAGGATGCCATACCTTCTGCCCCCGGAATAAGTGCCAGTGCACCTCGCAGTGCATAAACATTGGGAACTGCTGCCACGAGTCTTGGCAGTTCCATGGGAGGTTGCCAAGCAAAAATGCATATTTTGCGGACCCTGGTGCTGCCTTGTGCCGCCTTTTACAGGGGATGCCGAAGAGCGCCGATAGTTTGTTGCAACCCTCATTTCCTGTCAAAAGTCTAACTGTTCGACTTTGAGAGGAGGATCTATGCTGGATTTATGGCAATGTTGAGCAAGAGTCTGGTTTGGGTCTGTCCTTTTTTGAGGGCACCCCATTTCCGGTTTAACGGGGACCCAAGAGGAACACCGCCATGTTTATTTCCCCAGATTGCTGAAAACTAGAGGTGTTCTAGCTTCTAACAAAATGGGGAAAGTGATTTGCGAGATTGATGGGCTGGTGCTAGGGGGCATGCAGTTTGGGGTGCTGGTGCAGGTGCTGTTTTGGGGGGCGACGGTACGGTAGGGTGCAAGGGGCATGCAGCTTGGGGTGCTGGTGCAGGTTGTGTTTTGGGATGCTGTTTGGGTTCCTTTTTGATTTTCGCGAGATTGATGGCTGGGTGCTTGGGGGGTGCTGTTTGGGGGTCGGGGTGACGAGGTGCTAGTGCCGGCGTGGGCACATTATTGCTCGATTGACGGCCGAGTGCTGTTTGGGGCGCGTTTCGGGGGGTGCTGTTGGAGGTGCTGGTGTGCAATCATTGGCATGTTTTTGCTATTTGGGGTCTATTCTGTTTTTTTTTTTTGGGGGGGGTCCCCTACAAAATCACACACCCAATTTCAGCAGATCCAAGGATTATGTTCAGTACTGCGTGAACAAGAAGCACTCGGATTTCGAGCTGCTCCAGGCTGAAATGAAGCTGGAAAGGATGCTGGGACCAGTGAACTGTATATTTTGTTGTGCGAGTTTCTCAAGCAACCCTGCAGAGGTTTTGTTCGATTTTCCTCAACAGGAGACCAAAGGGGGGAGGGATGTTCAGGTTTTTTTTTGTTTAGTGTGTTTGCATTTCCCATCAAAACCACGGCGAATGAGCAAGTGTTTCAGTTTTGCATGGCAATGGTTGTCAATGTTCCTAAAAGGAGGCCAAACGGGGATGGGAACTGTTGAGATTTGCCAGAAAGTTTAGCACTCAGGATGGAGCGCGAGGGGGGCATCATCGGAACCGAATGGATCTTCTCTCTTGCTATGATCTTCTTCATTTTCACAATGATCCTACTGATCTTTCTGGTGAATAGCAAGCACACGAGCGTCTCGAGCGAGTCCATGTTTTTTCCCGAATCGACCGGATCAGACCTTTTGTTTCCCAATCATTTTTTATCCGACCTTTCGGTTTCCCAATCAAATGTTGGTATGTTTCGTGTCCCAAATGGTGATCACTTTTTATGCTCAAGGCCTGTGGGAGATCAGCTAAGCTTGATCGGACAGGCGGCAGGAGAGGGAGGTCCGAAAAGGGCAAGTGAGTATATATGTATCAAAACAGGGCCACCCCAAAGTGTTGATTCCTGATTGGTTTCCCTTTACATCCCCCAAAAGGGGTACTTAACCACAAACAAGCACACGCACACATTTTCAAGTGAGGCATCCAACATTCGGTGTACCGGGTGATGTGCACCACGGTGTCCATCTTCGCAGCATCCACCTCTTCTGTGGCGGTCCATGGCATCGTCATCGAGCAGCTTTGGCAAGGGAAGCAGCCCGGGCTCCACCAGTCTGCGGGGCCGCTGGTTCAGGCTCGGATCTACCTGGCTTCTTGGATGAGAAGCGTCGCGCGCTTTTGTTTTGCTTCCTCGGCAAAGGACTAAAGTCGAGCTGGAGTTTCTTTTGCGCACCCAGGCTTTTGCAACGTTTTTTTTCCAATGAACGTGTACTGATACTTTTCGGGTGGTCAGCTTGAGAACTTGACCAGCTTGGATCGTGATGACTCTTTTCTTCGACCCAGGTCTTGACTTTGCTGTTTTACCTCTTCTCCAACTGGTGCACACATTATTATTTCCGGTTGAAGCAGGAGGTCTTTGCGGTGGCCGAGCTAATGAGCCACATGACCGGCTTTATGCTTATCCGACTGGTGGGCAGTTTGCAACAAACTGTGAGGGAATCCGAATTGAAGGCACTGACAGTGCCTTGGCGAAGAGGGGTTCTTGGTGCTCGGGTGAAGTTTTGTGGAACATGGTGGCTTCTTTTTGCAAGAGCTTGTTTTGTTTGTTTTTGTGTGTGTGTATTTTCGGAGGGTACCTAGACTCGACTCTCCATGACCCTTTCAAAATGGGGTCACTACCAAAAGAAGGGGGTCATGGCCCCATTTTTAAAAGATTCTTTCCGCGGGGTGGTGCAAAGGGACGCTACAGTTGGCAATTTCGGGTCAGGTGGTGCTGGTTGTCTTCGTGCTTCTCAGGCGCCTCAAGCATGCAGTTAGGTGGGTCGTTTGTTTTTTGGGGGGGTTTTTGGAGGATGCTCTGCACAAAGAGGGGGGGGTGGTTGGAAAGATTCTGGGTGAATTACAACGACCACAGACGACCTCACCCCAAATGGTGGTTTATGTGGGGAATGGCCCCCAACCACCTTGTTTCAGGCTGGTGAAATATTATAATTCCACAAGAGTGCGTACAATTATTCAATTATTCAATGGCTCCCAAGGGGGGGGGGCTGTACTTGCTTATAGAGATTCCGGAATGAGCTTCGGCCAAGCACTCTTCGTTATGGGATAGCTCATTCCCATATCGGAGCAAGCAAGTTTCATTTCCGAAGAGCCAGTAAACCCCAAGGCTGCGCCAGCTGATGTTTCGGACCCAGAGGATGTTCTATTTACTCAGGAGTTGCACTGGCACATGACCCAAACAATTCATGACAATCATGAAAATATTGTTTGGAGGTGGCTGAACAAAACTATTGACCGTGTCCATTTTCCACTACCTTCCTGACCCGGCTTAAAATGGCAACAGATTCCTCTCGGAGGCGTGCCAAACTGGTCCCATGACCGCTGGTGTGGAACCCCCCCTTGCCATCGCGTCAACCATCGCCAGACTTGTAAAACTTGTACAATGTTGTGCATTTTGCATTTTTGTCCTCAAAAAAGCAAAAAAACATCATCAGCAAAAAGGCAGCCACTTTTTGTAGGTGTAAGTTCATCAGGGGACGGACCTCGAGACTCTAGGCCAAGAGTGTTGCCATAATGTGTTTTTTTGGTGGTCCCTGCTTCATACAATTCCCAACTGGCTTGATCCGTTGGAAAACCGGCTGCAAACCACAGGCGACGTCAACTGGGTTGTGTTTTTGAGTGTTGAACCCACCCAGCCAAGAGTGCCACGTGGGCAAACGCCAGCTTGGGGTTTGGAATGTTTTCTTGGGCCTCCTAGGCTTCAACCAGGTTGAAAGTGACACCAGGTTTGGAAGGTAGCCAGAAAGACAATAGGTGTCCTGTTTAGGATAGCTTGCTTCAAAATAGATGGCACTGGTTTAGATGGGTTTCGTTTGCCATCTATTTTTCCTAAAGGTCACCTATGAGAAAGACTCGCGTGTGGACCCGCTGCCCGAGGGTTGTGGTGGATTTGGCCGAGTGGGCCCGGGAGAAGTTTGCGGCGACCGATGCCTGGCACTGGCAGTTCGCTCTCAGCGGTAGTGGTCAGTGGAATGATCTCAGCCATCTGCAACTTAGTTCGCCAAGTGATTGTTTACGTCAATGGAATTTAGTCATTCCTTGTTTCTTTTGTATGTATTCATTTATGCATTTACTCCTGCAATGCTTCGTTCGTTTGTTCCTGCGTTGGTTCGTTCCTTCATTCATCGATCCATCGATCCATCGATCCATCGATCCATCGATCCATCCATCCATCCATCCATCCATCCATCCATCCATCCATCCATCCATCCATCCATCCATCCATCCATCCATCCATCCATCCATCCATCCATCCATCCATCCATCCATCCATCAATTATTCCATCAATTATTCCATCAACTATTTCTTTCTTTCTTTCATTCATCCATTTGTCCATTCATCCATTTATCCATTCATCCATTCAACCCCCTCATCCTTTCATCCATTCATTCATTCATTCATTCATCCATTCATCCGTTCATCCATCATCCATTCAACCCCCTCATCCTTTCATCCATTCATTCATTCATTCATCCATTCATCCGTTCATCCATCCGTTCATCCGTTCATCCGTTCATCCGTTCATCCATTCATCCATTCATCCATTCATCCATTCATCCATTCATCCATTCATCCATTCATCCATTCATCCATTCATCCATTCATTCATTCATTCATTCATTCATTCATTCATTCATTCATTCATTCATTCATTCATTCATTCATTCATTCATTCATTCATTCATTCATTCATTCATTCATTCATTCATTCATTCATTCATTCATTCATTCATTCATTCATTCATTCATTCATTCATTCATTCATTCATTCATTCATTCATTCATTCATTCATTCATTCATTTGTGTTTGTTGTTTGGACTTTCCTTTTGCTTTATGTTTATAATCATTTATTTTGGGTTGTTCAATATGTACTAAAGTATTGGGTTATTTGTTTTGTGTTCTCCTTTGTGTGGGGGAGGGGTTTTGCCTTCGCCGCTGTAAGGCAAAGCCGGCGGCTGGACACTCGGCCATTTTTCTTGGCCTTCGGCCTTCGCCCCCCCCCCTGGAGTTCTTTCTGGCTGAGGTTTTTTTCTTCGGTGGTCGTTTTTTGGTTGCTTTTGGCTACTTTGGTTGATTTGCTCATGTTTTGTTGGTTGATGTTTTGTAACCCGCCAAAAAAGCAATGATAAAGAAAGAAAAATAAGAAAAGTAATAGAAAGAAAAAGCAATCAGAAAACAAGTGGTCGGTGACTATTTTTATGTTCTGCTGTTGGTTTTAAAGGGAATCTATCACTACCGGATTTGTTTCCAGGGGTCTTAACTAAATGGAAGTTCTCAGAACCCGAGATCCCCGAAGGAGAATTACAGGTTCCAAGCGAACCGGATAATTCAATTCGGCAAGCGCTTGCCCCCGGCTTTCTTTCGCAAATTTTCGGCGTCCAAGGCTCTATGAAAACAAGCACCTACTTTGGTGCATTTTGCCAAGGGATGTTGGGACTTTAACTTTTTGCCGTACTAGTGGGTTTTCCCATTAAACCACTAAAAGTTAAACTTTTAGCAGGGGAACAGAAAGCAACCGAGCTATAGCCTATAGATTCTCCATGACCCTTGAACAAGTGGGGTCATGACCCCTTTTCTTCTGGGTAATGAGCATATTTCAGGAGTCATGGAGACTCTAGGTAGAGCCACTCCAGGTGTAGCCAGTTTATGTGCGACTTGAGATCTGGAGCACGGGCATGTGGGGAACCTGGCTGTTTTTCTCTCTTGTCTTTGTACTGGTGTGATACCTTTGGATAATTCCAACTAAGTGGTGACGTAAATCCAGAATCTTGTCGTACCTTTGGGACACGGCATATCGGATATGGGCGTGTCTGGTCACCAAAATTGGTTGTTCACTTTTGGTTTGACTTCTTTCCATCCAAAAGGGGGTGCCCTCAAAGGAAGACACGCAACTTCCATTCGCTTAAGACTATTTTATGATTTTCCCCTGTTGGTTTTAACGGGAATCGATTTCACTACTGGACATACTTTCTCATTTTTTGCCGGGGTCGAAAAACCAAATGGAAGCATCCAAGAATTGGTTGTTCCCTTTTGGTATCCCTTTAAAACCATCCAAAAGGGGTGCCCCTTGAAAAGGGGTGCTCTCCAAACGGAAGACACGCAGACGCGCACGCCGCATGGATCCGCGCCACGACCATCGCCAGGAAGAGCTTCGCGTTCAACAGGCACCGGGTGAGCCGGACAGCGACTACACGCTGCTCAGACCCATCTCCGCGGCTCGGAGCGACACATGCGCCGAGTGATCCGGTTGTCTCCGGTTTGAGTGGGGATTGTTTTTTTTTACTTTTGGAGGGGAACACCCCCATATCAATAAACAGGGGTTTATTGATCCGGGGTCAACATGGCTGTGGTTGTCAAAACCGCTTTGGGATCCCATTTTGGTAGGTGAATTCACCACCCGTTTTAGAACCTATTTTAGTAGGAATTGGGATGTTCACTGGTGGTACGATTTGGGACTTTGACCCATAGCCACATGGCTCTGGGTCCGTTCAAGTCTGGGTTCCGAGTGACGATTCAAGCGACAAGTGATCGTTTTCGGTGCTTTCTTTTAGTTCGTTGAACTCTCCAATGCAGTTTGGATCTTTCCAGTGGATCGGTTTGGAGACTCCATGTGATTCGGATCTCGGAGTCGTCTTGTGAGTCCAAAGACCTGAGGATTCTGTTCCCTGATTTCTTTCCCCGCGCTTCACGTCCTGAACGGGAGTAAACCAACACCAAATGCGCATCCCGAGTCACTTTTCACGGCAAAGTGGAGGCCTCCGGCGCATTTCGGAATCCATCCTTCAAATCCCAACTTTTGGCGTTGAATCAGCTTCCCATGCCAAGATGTGTGTTTCTTCTTATTCTTTTTGTTAAAAAAAAAAAAAAAAATCACGTGGGGTCGCTGGTTTCCGGAAGCCAAGATGTGCTTTGGGAACGCGAGATCTTGCGATGCCCGGGCTTGTTGTCACTGTTTTTGACCGTTCTGTTTGATAGCCCCCACTCAAACATCGTTTTCCATCCCCGAAAAGGGCTCCTGTTTTTCTTTTCATTCGAGTCACGGCTTGCTATTGGGGCGATCATTTGTATAAACAGAACAAAAGTGTTGCAAAGGCAATCATGATTCCCAATGTATGCATTGCATGTAAATCAATACAATTACCCACTATCGTTCATGTCGTGATCCATACTGCAATGCTATAACTCAACTAAGGACAGTTTTTGTTAGGAGGGGAACGGGGAATGGGGGGTGGGGATTTTTGTTGCAGAATCAGAACCAAAGACCGCCAGGTCTTGCTGGAGGCAGAGGACGACATGGAGGATCCCGATCCCCTCGCAAGGTTCGGGCCGATGAGGTGCGCGCTTTCTTCGCCGTCCTTCTGCGCAGGGGAGATGCGGAGAGACGAGGAGAAGGAGTGGGATGGGCTTGCAACTTAAAATGTAGCTGGACCGGAGCGGAGGTTAGGGATGAATTGGTCGCAACACTCAACACAACCCTTCTTCTTTGTTCGGCCTTTCTCTTCTGACCCACTGGCTAGAGAAATGGGGCTGACTTGAAGAGGGTCTTCACACCTGATAGTCTCGTTGTTTTCCCGCACGGGTCGAACGGTAACTCCAGGTTCGTGTTTCGGAGGATGGAGACTGCTGTTCACTCAGAGCCGACCCTCAATTTGTCCATTCTTGTTGGGGGCTAATTTGTTTTAGCGCTCAGATGAATTGGGGCTGACGTGCCATAATTTCTTGTGGACAATTGTATCAAGCTACGGAAGCCGATGGGAAACGGGCTGCGTGTCACAACTGGTCCTCCGGTTGCATCCCTTCCTATTGTCCAAGAGCTTTGAGCTTTGAGTTGGGCTTCTGTTCAAAATCCGGAGATCCCCAATTCTATTGAAGTGGAAACGGGGCACTACTAAAACAAAGGACACTACGAGTACCATCTAGCGCCAGGATCAAGGATTTATGTCGAACAACCTAGTTATTGAACATGACGCAACCGAATTGCAAGTAAAACAACACATCTTCGGCAACCCTTTGCAAGATGAGAGCCGTCAACCATAAACTCCACGCGGATCATCTCATTCCGCGCAGTTTGTGGGAGCATGGGATCGAACAAGGAGCCTTTCGTTCACGCATTCTCGACGGCGAACCGGTTCCTCAGGTCTGGGCCCAAAGACATTTAGCGATTCCTCCCAGGCCATCTAAGTGACAAAAAACACATCAAATCACCAGACAGCTCGCTCGAAATTGGCCGTAGAAGCTGATGATAGAACCATCGAAGGGGAAATGTCGGACCCCCCCCCCCACCCCCCCATCCAAAAAAAAAGTCCCCCAAAGGAGGAGGTTTTTTGACCTCTCCAAAGGCCGAGGTTTTGACCTCGCCCTTTTGAACCCAAAAAATCAAAAACAAGAAGAAGAAGAAGAGGCGTCCATTTGATCCTCGGAAGGAGGGCAGCAGCCAGAGCTGGCAGCTACGGCGGCACAGCCACTGGGATGAGGCGATGCAGACAGGGACCATCGAGGGGGCGGCCCTGGCCATCGGGTTCCTGGTGCTTCTCAGCGCGAAGCGGGCACCTACCCGTTGTTCTCCCGTTTGCTTGGCTTCTTTTTATCTGGTGTCCTTTTTTTCTTCTTCTTTTTGTTTGGCTTCTACTGTTTTTTGGTCAAAGTGTTTTCCCTTTTTTGTTTGTTTGGCTTTTGTGTGACGCTTCTGTCATTGCAACAGAAGGAAACGTCACTCTAACCCAGCACTGATTCCACGCCTTTTCTGTTTGGTTTCGAAGGGAAGCAGCGGGAAGCAAATATCCTAATGGGAAAGTGGCTTTTCACTTCTCGAGCTGATTGGTCGGACCAAGTCTAAAAGTGTTAGGTCCAAGAAATGGGGACGTGACGGCACAGCTCTGGCTTCCCTTTTGGTTGGATTCAAAGCCCAGAGGGTCCAAGTACCTAAGGAGCTACTTAGACCCCTTTTTACCCCCCAAAAGCCATCATCATGAGGTACCAAGGGACCCTCTGGGAAGGGTAACTGGAAGAAAACCAAAGTGTCACTTCCCCTGTTTATGGACTTGACACTTTGTGGACAGATCATTCAAGCGGTAGATTTGTTCTGACCAATCCGCTCAGGAGCTCAGGAAGTGAGGCCCCCAATCCCATTTTTTTTGTCTTGGCTTCTACTCTAGCTTCCACTTGCTTAAGTATACTTGTCATTTCCCTGGCTGGTTTTGAAGGGAATCTATCACTACTGGAAGTAGTTTCAGTTTTTCCCGGGGGCTTAAGCAAACGGAAGCTAGGTTTCTCGTTTTCCTTTGAGGCCGACCAAGAGGGGTCTTCAAAATATGGGAATCCTGGTTGTGATCCTCACAAGACATGGTTTTTTGTTTCCGTCAGGGTCGCGTGTGGGAAGAGGGTCGCCCCCTTGTGGTTACTGTTTGTTAAAGGCAACGCTAACGGATATTTTGCAGGGTTTCCCTGTTTCGGTTCCCATGTCGGCTTTTGCCTTTTTGTGGGTTTCCTTGTTGGGTTTTACGTCATGGCAATCTAAAAGGTGCTCGTTTTGGACACGGGCCAGGGTTCCTGTAAGGATGCAGTCCGTGGTACTCTTCCACACTCACTACTTGCACTCCCAGGACACGCGGGTAGGCAATTCTGCGGATTTGCCCCACACCCCCCAACCCCAAACAAAAAAAAGGCTTTGTTTTTCCGGTTGGTTTCCATTTAAGCCAACGGTCATGTTGTGTGATCAGAAATCCCTTTTTGATTTCAAGAGTGTCCAAAAGATAGGCGTGTCTTTCGTTGAGGGTGCCCCTTTCGGTTGGTTTCAAAGGGAAACCAAAAGGACACCCGCCTTTTTAAAGCAGACCCCCGCAGATTTGTGTTGTTGCAGCTCCATCAGGTTGTTTTTTGTTGGTTTCCCTTCAAGGAAAAGTCCCAGAGGTCGGCGTGAAAAAGCAGGGATTGATTGAAGGACGAGAAGGGGGTGACAATCAAGAAACAGGACTCCAACTTGTTTGGGAGCTGATTTCGGGCCCAGGTCCGACTCCCTGTAGTCCCAAGAGTGAGAGGCTGTCAAGAAGGGGCGGGTGGCTGAAACCGCCAAGCCCAATGAACGATTTACAAATGTTGTTGCAAGCAGATTTACCGCCATGGTTGTTGTCCGGCTGCTTTTGCCTGTGAATAGCCGATTGAGCCAGGGCCTGAGTAAAGTGCTGGAAAGGAACACCACCATGACGGGCCACCCATTTTCAATCGATTGGCTGCCGTTTCAACCCCATCGAGCAAAAAAAACATAGGACCACAGTCTCAAGCCAAGCAATCACAAAGAAGGTGCCCAAAAACAGGTGTGGTTCCTCTAACAGTCCCAAAATGGGGACTGACACACAGGACCTTGGGACCCCCTTCGCACGGGTCCCTTAGGGGCTTCGTATCAAGGGCGGGTCTTTCGAGAGAACAAGTGTCCAAGAAAACTTTTCTGGGACCTCCCCCATTCCAAATATGGATTTTGTTTGTTTGTTTTTTTCCCCCTAGGGTTTGGGGTAAGTGAAACCCCAAATAAATATATCAAAACCCAGGCCCTTCGTGGAGTCGATTCCTGTGGATTCGCTGTCGATACCATTGCCATTGTGGAGTCCTAAGGGCTCCCGTGGTTGCGAAATCCATTTCGCAACGTTCAGAAACCTTGGGAATTATTTGATTCCCCTGTAAATACCAACAAGCAATGGTTCCCCTTTGTTTCTTGGGTGGTGCGAAGAGGAATTTGTCCATCCACAGTATGAGTCGATTCTCCTGTAAATACAAACGAACCATGGTGTCAACCATGGTGCAGGATGCTGTGCATCCATTATACCTCAACTTTGGCCCAACCAAAATAAAATGTCTGATTCTGGTCCATATTCAGTGAACCTGAAAATGCAAATCAAGTCACAAGAGATCTCAAATTTGCACTCTCGTTCAGATTAACATTGGGTGGGCTTTATTGAGAATCATGGACGTATGTTTTGTGACTCTTTCCTGGTTGGCCACCTGAACACTGACGCCTGTTTCGGAAACATGAGGGTCATCAGGCCTTGGCTTGGGCTGGCTTTGGGTTCAACATATTTTAGCCTGTGATTTCCGACTTCAACATAATCATAAGGGGCTGACACAGATATATTTTCCCGGTTTTATGGCACCCCTCAACACCAAAGCGATTCATCCCCATGGCACACTTCGGAAGGGCTATTTCCTGTTTGGCTAATAAATGGTGCTGGTACTGGTTTCACTTGGTTTCCGTCATTTCCCAGCATCCATGTTTCCAACGTGACACAACTTGGAGTCTCCATGACCCTTTAAAAATGGGGTCATGACCCAAAAGAAAGGGGTGATGACCCCATTTTTTAAGGGTCATGGAGACTTTCGGAAGTCGGTTTCCGACTTTTCTCGAGGAAGGCTTGGTGCAGAAGCCAGAGTATTGGTGGGAGAAGTACGTGCTGGCAGGCTGGGGCATCGCTTTCGGCGTCCTCTTCTTCGTTGCGACCATCTTGGAGCGGAACTGCAGCAACACCCTCACTGTGCCTTGGCGGTGGGATTTGTTTGCATGTGGTATTAGGCATGGAAATGTGTGTTTGTTTGCACAATATGTGTTGATATTTATATTACATATATGTATATTAATTATTCAAATATTTAATACAAACAACTATATATGTATATTTAATTCTACAACTATAAGTTAATTCGATATAAATATAATTCATAATTCAATATAGATATATTATGTTTATTTCATGATTAGTTTAAACATGTATTAATAAAATTATATTACACATATATATATATATATATATAATATTGCACCCATACGTACCTACATATGTATATATATATACATAATCTGGTGGCACGGCTTCTTGCAGCACGTGCGCCTTCCATCGATTCTTTCAAGCATCTGCATGAGGTTGGGTGGGGTTGGGGAATGCCGAAGGGTTGGGGGATGGAGAGGGTGGGTCGGGTTTCGCATGGCCTGCATGGCGCAAGAGGGCTCACTGCAAGACACTCTATCTATCTTTCTGTCTAGTCTATAGCCTAGTCTAGTCTAGTCTAGTCTAGTCTAGTCTAGTCTATGTGATTCTGTTTGTCTGTTTGTCTGTCTGTCTGTCTATATATCTATGTTTTCTATTCACTCAATCACATACTCACTTACTCAAGTTCACGCAATAAATCAATAGATAAATAAATAAGTAAATCAATAACCAAATAAATCTAACAAACAAACAAACAAACAAACAAACAAACAAGCAAGCAAGCAAGCAAGCAAGCAAGCAAGCAAGCAAGCAAGCAAGCAAGCAAGCAAGCAAGCAAGCAAGCAAGCAAGCAAGCTCCTCCAGCATTCATGGTTTTGAAGGGAAACCCACAGAAAACCGCCAGGAAACCATTATGACTTGCGATCGGCGCAAGAGATGCACGGAATGCCAACTGGAAGTACCCCGATTTAAACCATCCAACTGGTGGCTTGTTCATTCCCACATTCCCTATCGCAGCAGCAAGAGGAGGAACCCTTGGCAGCGACAGGCAAAATCTTGGGGTTCGGGTCGTCTGGCAGGAAGCCAAACATGTGTATAGCTTCAAATAGGAGGTTCCAAGCCAAAAAAGGGTACCTTCTAAAACACACACACAAACAAATATTTGGGACTCCTAAGAAAAAGACTTACACCCAAATAAACTTGTCTCCAAATAGGGGAACCCCAAAACACCCACATCTGTAAAATCAACCCAATTCGCGCACCCTCCAAAAACACACACACACACAAAATATTTGGGAACCCCAAAAAAGACACCCAAAGAACCTATTCTCCAAATACGGGAACCCCCAAAAAAGACACACTCACGTGGGGGGCCCCCAAGTGACTATGGGTATTTTTTCGCGTTGAGTGGTTCAATATATCATCTTCTTAGTGGTTCTCCAACCACTGGTCATCCCATGTTTGCGGGACCTTTTGATGAACCCATTTTGGTGGTTTCCCGGACGCTTCTCTTTAACACCAACCCAAAAAAGTTAATCCTCAAAAAACACGCACACACCAAAACATTTGGGACCCCCCCCAAAAAGACTTACACCCAAATGAAATAGTGTCCTCATCCGACAACCCTCACAAAATATTTGGGAACCCCCCAACAAATACACCCAAATACAATACTATATTGTCCCAATAGGGGAATCCTCACAAGCAACACGCACATACACCCAAAGATTTGGGGCCCCAAAAAATACACACACCCAAATAGAATAGTGTCCACAAAAAATGGGATTCCTCGCAAATAGCACGCACACACAGCCAAATATTTGGGAACCCCAGAAAACACCCAAATGAAGTAGTGTCCTCATCGGGGAACCCTCGCAAACAACACACACACACACACCTAAATATTTGGGAACCCCCCAACAAATACACCCAAATACAACACTATATTGTCCCAATAGGGGAATCCTCACAAGCAACACGCACATACACCCAAACATTTGGGCCCCCAAAAATAGACACACCCAAATAGAATAATGTCCACATCAGGGAACCCTCACAAATAGCACGCACACACAGCCAAATATTTGGGAACCCCAGAAAACACCCAAACAAAATTGTGTCCCAATAGGGAAACCCTTACAAACAACACGTACACACCCACAAATATTTGGGAACCCCCAAAAAGACTCACACCCAGATAAAATCGTGTCCAAATAGGTGAACCCTTACAAACAACACGTACACACCCACAAATATTTGGGAACCCCCCACAAAAACTTACACCCAAATAAAATAGTGTCCAAATAGCTTGACCCCCGAGAAGTTGAGACAAGACACCCGCATATTTCGGTGGGTTTCCCTTTCATTCCTCTTTAACACCAACCCAAACAGGGTTCCGTCGCAAAAAACACACACAACTATTTGCGAACCACCCCAAAAAAGGCTGTACACCCAAATAACTCATCATCTCCAAATATTTTGGGAACCCCCAACCAAAAAACACGCACACACCTAACTCTTTATTAATATGGGGGTGTTTCCGGTTTTAGTGGGGGTTTACATCACTTTTGGAGGGGAAAACACCCCCGTATTAATACACAGGGGGTTTATTAATCCGGGTCAACATGGCTGTGGGTCAAAACCAATGGTATCCCATTTTGAGATAGGTGAATTCACCACCCATTTTAGAACCTACTTGAGTGGTTGGATTGGGATGATCAGAGGGGGAGAACCGATTTTGGGTTTTGACCCACCACTCCACCCCCCACTCCACCCCCCACCCCCCAAAAAATGGAGAAAAGGGGGGCCCCGGGGGGTGGCCTGTTGATGGTTGCCTGTTATGCTTTTTACATTCATCTCAAACCTATTAACCACCTTATCCGTTTTTAAAAGAGGGTTTTTGGGGAGCTTATTTATCGTTTTGTTAGAGGTGGAACATTTGGGTTTTTGTTGCCTTGTTCATTGTTGGTCTGGGGGCCGACATTTTTTTCATTTGAAGGAGGTAGCCCTTTTAGTAGTTATCAAGTTCTGGGGCGTTGGTGGTGTATTTGTTTTGTTAGTGTTTTCTCATTAATTTTCATTTATAGGTTAAAAGTTCAGTATAATTATAACATATAAGATTTTACATGTTATAATTATATTATGATTATAAGTTCAGTTCAGGATTCTGCTTCTATAAATTTCAATTGCAACATGATCGATAGTAATGATTTCGTGTCGTTTCATAGTCTGTTTGGTTTCTTCAACTGCTTGTTCAATATGGTATTGTAATGACGCTCTACTTGAAATCTTATTCTGTTTAGATGATGAATAAGAACGACTGTTGCAAATATTATTATTATACATAATTTTTGAACTAACTACTATTCCAACCTGTATTTCATCATCATACTTCATCATTCTTAATAATTCTTTTGGTGGTTTCAACGCATATGAAAGCGCTTTATCACCTTTTAAACATTTATTGCGAATCTCAACATAATATCTACTTTCTCCTACTCGTTCAGTGTAAATAGACGGTTTCCATTTCCTTTGTAATTCTCTTAAAGCATCACATTGTTTCAGTCTTCGCCACCCTTCACTACCATTAATGTAAGTAGTGATGATTGAAACTAAGCCTTCAGGTAAGCTAGCGCAATTCTCATCCATAAAATTATTCTCTGACATTTTACCCTTACTCATTTTTCTCTTAATATATAAGGCTTTTTCTCTTTAAGTAGTTTTGGCTAGGGGTTGCTGGTCGGCTGGTCTGGGTTTCAGGTTTAATTTAAATGTCTTAACCTCATTGTTAGATTATAAAAACTAGGTTTAATCATATTATAATTGAATAATATCATTAAACTAAATCACTCACGCTTTCCATCCACCTATTCCATCCCACCAGAATTCAATAATTCGCATCTGTCCATCTACTAGACTGTCTTCTGTGTTTAGTTTCCGTATCGCTCCCGATAAGATATAGTGATTAATAATCATAGCATTAAACTGCCCATCTCGGTTTAACTTTTTACCACAGTCTTTTATGATGTTTTCATCTGTTAGGTTTTCATACATTTCTTTCATGATGTCAAACCTAACAAATGAGTATATTGTCATCAAGTTTAATCCGCTATTATCCCTAAACCTGTTAATAACATCTTTCCAGAATTCTTCGTTTTCATCAACTGATGGCAAAGGGTGTCTTTTGACGAAATCCTTTATTTTGTTTAACTCGTCATCTAATTCCTTTTTATAACTGTCATTATCATCATCTTCTTCGTCTGATAGCACCCAGTTTGATAAGTCAGCAATCACTCCGACATTTTCAGTCATATTTTCACTTAATATAATAAGTTAATATTTCTTTAAGTAGTTTTTTATTTTATGTTAAGGGGCGGGGTTTTTATTGAAAAAATATTTTCTAACAATTTAATATAATGGCGAGATTAACAAAAGACCAAATAATCAGCAACATCTATTACGACTTAGACGAGGGTTTCGGAAGCACACAAGCGACACACAAGAAGGCAAAGGAAGAAGACCCAACAATAACATTAGACGATGTAAAGTCTTTCTTAAAGAAACAGCCAAATAAACAAATCAAAAATTATAGAGGAACTAATTCCTATACCGCTCCATTCGCACGATATGAATATCAAATAGACATAATGCATATGTCTCCTTTAGCAAAAGACAAGAACGTTCCACAGTATGCTTTAGTCGTGATTGACATCTTCAGTAAATTAGCAGATGTAATACCGATGGAGGAAAGAGACGGAGAGAACGTTTTGAAGGCGTTGAGAGCAAGCTTTAAAAAGATGGGTTATCCGATGTCCGTGTATTCTGATGACGACGGAGCGTTTGCAACTAAAAATCACGTTCAGGATTTCTTCAACAGTGAAGGAATAAACCACATCGTCACGAAGACCCACGCAAATGTGGCCGAGCGTTTTATTAGAACGATGAAAAACAAAATTCACGATAGAGTTAGGTTTAACAACATGAAATGGACCGACGCCCTAACGCCGGCATTGAAACAGTATAACAGCACATCTCACTCATCAACAAGG